GGTTTAGGGCTTAGGGTTTTAAGGTGGCAGATTTGAGGCCCCTCCCCACAACATACATCATTCTGACTCAAAGCGCAGCAGTCTTTGCAGGTATCTAGGGCTTATGGGATGTTTATGGGATACGACAACCCAACTATCCGGGTTTTGAGTTTTTGTGCTTTTCGGATGGCTCCCAAAAAATAAAAATAAAGTAAACACCCTAAGCCCACCTCTGCGGCTCCCTGTGGATGCTTTCGGTGCCTGCCCATGTTGGCCCAACCATAGTCGTCAGCCAGGATGAAGACAACATGAGGCCTTCGACTTTCTCGATTTTTGGGCGGGGGCCGCAGGAGGAGGGGTTTGGGTTTTTTTTGGGCTTTGGGCTCCATGGAGCTAACGTATTACCTCAGGAAGGCTAACACCCCAAACGCCTGAAGCCCTAATGCCCCAACACTTTGTGTATCCTCCTCTATTCCTCGTATATCCCTTTATGCCCCCTTAACAACCCCCCCCCCCCCCACCTCTGCTTCCTCAAGCCTTTAGAGTTTAGAGCCCTTAAACCTCGAGCCCTAAATCCTGTAACCTCAATCCCTCGACAGCAAAACCCTACCTGTAGCCCCAACTAGCTACAGGTTTATGTAAACCCAAAAGCCTAAACGCCATCGGAGAGGCTTCCAGCTCCTGGCCGACTCAAACCAGAGCAGGGGTAGCACGCCTCAGAAGAACAAGGGAATCTACAGGAAATTTGCGGGTTTTGGGTATAACCTTACTCCCCCCCCCTCCATTCTACCCTCCCCTCTTCCCCCAACCTCAATTTGGCCTAGTTGTCCTGGAACAAGCGCAAGCTCAATTATAGTAAACCCCCAAACTGGCCTAACATTGGAAACCGGATCCAGGACGATGAGTGCTGGGATTCCCTCTACATTGCTCACTTGTAGAGGATTGAGGCTGTTAGGTTTCGAACCTTTTGACTTCCGAAACGGGGGAACGTATGGTGCTAGTAGGGGAACCCGAGGGGATCCAGCTGGCTCCACAAGGGGCAAGTAGGAATCTGTAAACATCTTTCAAGAAATAGATATCGACATAAATGATATAAGGATATGTAGGGCTTCAGGTTTTCAAGTTTGGGGTCCCGGGTTTAGGACTGTTGGGTTAAGGGTTTCGGGTCTAGGCCGCTCAAACCACACCCTACGATCGAAACCCTTACACCATATGTATCCTCATATGATTTCTTTCCATATATCCTGCATGTTCTTTTGTTTCCCCTACATCCCCTGCCCAACGACCTTTTTCTTGAGAACCTGAAGCTGAGGATCATTTTAGGGGTTTGGGGAGGTCTAATCCTACAGAGTCTATGGGTTTGGGGTTCAGAGTTCAGGGTGTCGGGTGTGTGGGGCTTGCCGCGTTGCCATAGTAAACTAGTAAACACCTTGTATGGGAGAATGTGTGGGTTTATTGTTTTTCGAAGGTTGAGGCTTCTGGGTGGCATCCGAGTTTGTCCCTCAAGGTGCCAATCACGTTGCGGGAGCTTGAAGATCTCTACACCCCTCACTTCAGGACAAGATGCAAGCCAATCGCGCAGCCCACATGGCAACAAGACGCGAGTTGCTGCAATGACCTAAACCCTGACCTTTGCCAAAATGGCTTCAGATGGACAAGGAGTAGGGTGCATAGTTTACGTAGTGTTTGGGGCCAAGAGTTAAGAAATCCAGACATGCCTTAGCCCTGATTCTCACAACAATGGCCTCAAATCCGATGATGACTGTCTAGGTTGCTGTTGTTGTTGTTGTTGTTGCTGCTGCTGCTGCTGCTGCTGCTGCTGCTGCTGCGGCTGCTGCCGCTGCTGCTGTTGCTGTCGTTGTCGTTGTCGTTGTGGTTGTGGTTGTGGTGGTGGTGGTTGGTACCTACATACTATAGGGCCCTTGGTGATTCTGAAGCTGCGCGGGACAATATGCCGTTACCCTAGATAGCACCCCGCTCATTTGTCATTCTGGGTACAGCATCACAGGGCTTCTCAGCCACCCTTCCTTCAAACATGCTACGCAATGGCTGGGTTCACGGAATACGACATCGTGTACTGTGTACCTGGCATACTAGCCTAAGTGGCTTTCCCCTGCCATTGTGGCAGGCGGATAAGAACCGGTTCGTCTGGCTGCGGCCGAAGCGCCACTTGATGCCGGATTCTTTGCCTCAAAACTTCCCACACTGGTGTTCGCTGCCCGAAGCATGTCACGCGAGTTTCGCAGGAGACCCCCTTCATGGTCGTACTCATATGTCGGACTGCAACATGGACAGCTCTCGGGCAGGGACACCAAGGATTTTCCCTTAGAGGCAAGCACGAGATGCCTTTGCACTATGCTGCAGCGGCCCATGGTGTCAGAGCCGAGCTCCCCGCTTGAGCATGGTCATCTTGGCAGCTGCGAGGCAGTTGCTTTCCTTGATGAGGGCACGGCACGAAAAAGAAGCAAGCCTAAGTAAGCATTCCCGCCTGTATGTACGAACCCTTCCCCGGCAAGCGGCTGAGAAAGACTTCTGGCGGACGTCGCTCAGCGAGGGCCTGGTACCCATGTCGGAATCCGACATGCCGCGTCCTCACAGCAGACGTGACGGATCTGCGGACATCTTAATGTGGTGAGCAGAACGACACCTGGCTGTGGAACATGACAAACCGACATGGCCAGCAGCACTCCATTTTGGCGTGGAGCTCGAAGAGACATTGAGTGTGTCGATCTGCGCCCTTGCGCATGGCTTCATTCCAACACTGTGTCGATTCACGCTCGATACGCCGGACTAGCCGCCTTCAAAGACTCCAGTAAGGGTCGCTTCGTCGCCCAGACAGCGCTCTTTCAGGCGATCTCCATCGTAGTACCAAATCGTGACCGCAACACGTTCCGCCCAAGCTGGAAGGACTTCGTGGGGGTTCTGGTCTTGACAGAAGAATGCAATGAGTCGACCATGCAGCGGTTCCACATTTGTGCCGGACTTGCCATCATCAGCCAGCTGCTTTAAAATCCGCAGACAGCCTCCATGTGCCTCACGCCAGGAAGGGTTCAAATACAGGACGAGAGTCAGTACTCTGCCGTTTGCACCTCGGCCGCCAGCAGTGGAATCCAGATGCCTGCCGTATGCTGATCCATTCCCGGGGTAAACCGCCATCATGGGATGGCCCTGCAAGAGGTTGATATCCCGGAGCTTTGCTAAGTTTGGACCAGAGCTAACCATAAGCTTACCCAGCAACTGGTTGCATCGACGGGTCAGGTCCCGCAAGCATGGAGCCTGCATGCTCTCTGAATCACAGAAAGTGTACTCATCATTCTTCATGGGCTGGTTGTCTCCACTTTTCAGGTCCTCTGGAGATTTGATGGGACCCTCATGAGAGTTTTTGCCTGTCTGGAGCTTCCCCGACGACCTCTGCTCAAGGACATAGCGCCTCAGCTCGTCTGCCTCAGGACCTGGCAAGAAGCCATCGATAATACCCCAGCCGTGGGATGCGAGATGCTCTGCGAAAACGGAACAGGATTCCGAGCTAAGTGAAGTCGGCACTGCAGTGTTGCGCTGGAACTGAATTGTCAGAGTGCGCTTCTTCTTGGACCATTTGGAGGCCGGAGATCCAGACGTGTCCGCCGGAAGGGGAAGACAAAGAACCGACTCCCCCGCGCGCACGAGCCGGACCTGGGCATCGGACAGTTCCAGAGCGGGGCATTCGACCAAATCCGTGCCAGGGAACTGCACTTTGAGCTCCCAAAGCCCCGGCTGCTCACACCACTCGTGCTGCAGATCCAGAGATTTTGGGCAGGCGGAGGGCTGTCGCTGTGGCTGGCTGCAGCCCTCTTCGGCCACAGGGCTCTTCTTCGTGTTATCCAGCAGCCAAAGAGTGACAGAGTATCGCAGCTTTTCCGAAGGCCGAACCTCATGGGGTGTCCGCCAATCAGACCAGAAAAGGAGGACACGGTTCGCAACCGGGGGGACGACTCTGCGAAGAGCGTTCTCATCATCAGCTTTGAAGATCGCCAGCTCGCCTCCATCACCATCCTCCCACCCATCATTCAGGTAGATCAGGGCCGTGAGAAGCCGGGTTTTGCAAAGGGCATGCTTGCCATCGTTGTCGACGTGCTTGATGTATCGTGCCCCTTTTCCAGGATAACATGCGACCATGGCCTTGGAGCGTGAGGTAATCTTCGACAGCTCTGGCACTGTCTTCTGCAGCTCAGAGACAAGGGTGCCCAGCTTCAGCAAGTAGCCTTCCAGCCCTCTCCCGTGGGGCCACTCCGTCTGGCTGCTGTCAAACCAGCCGATGACGTCCCCTCGGGTGGCTCGGTCGGCATATTTCGCGTCGTCGGCCGAAGGCAGCTTCCCATTCACCAACCCACCGGCTTCAAGACGCCCTTGTGCATGGCACTCGGCCACCTCCTTTTTGAGCTCCAGGGCTTGGGAGTCGGTTAGGAATCGGTCTAGGACGCAGTAGCCTCGGTTATTCAACTGGGAGCCGATACTTTCCAGGGAGTCGTCCATGATCCACCACCACTCCTCCTTTCCAAACATGGAATAGTAAAGCCGGAACTTGCCGCACTGGTTGGTGAATGCCTCATCGGCAGTCTCATCTTCGGGATCTCCATGCTGCCGAGTCATACTGGCAAGAGGATGTCTACATCCCGGCAGTCCGGATGCCGCTTGTGGGCACACTCCATACTGCGCTTTCCAGTGCTGCGCAAACTGCTCCGGCATGTGCAAAGTTACCAGACATACCTCAAGTACATTCAAAATATATACATACACTGGTAAAATCTAGTGAGGGTTAGATGCATTCAATTATATGTATATCTATACATACACATTCACAGCAAAGGTCTCCTGGTCGAAGCGCTCTGGGGCGAACCTCAGGCAAGTATAACAGAACCACACAGCTCTGGAAACTGCTACAATAATCACCTCTTCTTTAGTTATACTCCAGAATCAGGAAGTTCCTTTTGGTGCATCTCATTTCCTCTCTACCACTGTCAACCATGCAACATGGATCCCACACGCCCTGTGGTGACTGTTGACCTGTGTTGACCTACTCGGAGCAAATGGAACTGACAGCGGAAACGCTCCAAACAAGCGGGCCTTTTCTCTGCTTCTCCAGGCGAAACTGACAACATGCAGCAACGATTGAGGAAGGAACGAATTCCCGTGAATCTGTCGAGCGGTCAGGAATTGTCGGGATGTCGAGATCCTGCCGCTCGACAATGGGGCTTCGATTCCGGGTGTCACGTTCAGTAGGTAGCTTGTGCAAATCGCGACATGCAGCAATGCACGTGCTTTTAGGCTGGCCAGACAGCGAAGGCAATGCAGATGGCCAGCAACGACTGCTTCGAAGCTTTCGCTGCTTGTCCTCAACAACCATTCCATCCTGGGCACCGGCTAGAGCGGCACGACAAGAATCTGCCCGTTCGCCGGAATTTCGGCTCGGGCTTGCAGACACTACACACAACGTGCTGCAGCAGCCCCCTCTATCATTGATCTCACCACCGGGACCTGCAACTGTGCTACATGCTCGTCTACACCCTACGCGACTTAAGCAGGAATTGAGTGGCCGACCAAGCTGGGTATGGAGACTTCTGGCATCGCCTGTGTGTAAACGCCAACGCGACTTTTGGAACAGGGCAACTATGGGAAACTACCATGAACAGCTGTTTGTCACCCACTTGGTCATGGTGCATGTTGTACAATACTTTTGCCAGGTTCGAAGGCGCAGCGCACAACCAATGCACAACCTGTGAATGCTCAGTCACGCCATGTTCGAGCTTCTATGTTAGCAGCATTATGCGGAATAGTTAGATGGCACACAAATGCGAACCGTGGTCCGTCTCAAACACCTCATTTTCTTGTATCAATCTGTTATGCCCCTATAGCAAGTCCATCGTGGCCCCAAACACCCCCTAAACTCTTTCTTGCATCACATCCAACCCCTAAACTCTTTCTTTGAAGCCCTTTTTTGAAACCAGACTCTGCTGATCAGCTGGGAAGCAGCACTGCATGATCCTAAATCCTAAACCCCTAAACCGTGAAACCTAAACCTGCAAAGGGCGACTGCATTCAAGTACACAACAGAAAGCTCGCTCACGAGCTGAGGCAGCCCTGCAGAATGGCTTTTAGGGTTTAGGGCTCAATATACATATGGGATGTACTATATGGTTTCATGTACTGGAAACATGAACTAATTGGGATAGACTGGTCCAAATTAAGCAGACTAGATTAAAATGGCCGTGTACCACAGGCATGAACATGGAAAAATTACAAACAAGCATGAGGAAAACAACCCAATCCATCATCTATAGATAAATATATTTATCTACACATATGTACATCTGGTCAGAAGGTCTGGTGTCCCCAAAACCTGCGCCAAGCAGACGTCTGCCTCGCCGGGTAGAGGCATCTCCCTGAAAGGCGACAGAAGGAACCGATTCTGAAGGCTCTGCGAAAACACCGAGCTTTACAATACCCCTGACAATGTTTATTATCACGTCTGGACCCCCAACCAGATTTGATGAGTGTATTCTCTAGTTCTAACGTATGATTCGATCTGGGCCACAGTAGTCGTTGACGCTTTCTGCATGCCCAAGCCCACCGAACAGGGCCACAGGGCATAGGCAAAAGTTGGCTAAGGCTTCAGCACCGGGGATGAAATGAGTTACAGAGTGTTGAGAAATGGAAGCAACCAAAGCTGAGTCCAGCAGAAGGATTTGTTTCGCTTCTCTTGATTCTACCACAGCTCCGTGCAAACTTTAAGGGTAGTGTTCGCATGTCATCTAAGGAAACGAAAGCGTTCTCATGCAGTAGGCCTAGGCAGAAGGTTCGAAGGGAGGCAATCCGGAAAAACTTTCCCTGAAAACCTCTCTCCGGTGCTTGGCATCACCCGTGGGTCATGGGTTCTAGGAAATCAATCAACCCCCAAGCCCCTTCATCCTAGTCTCTAAAAAGGCCCTCGGATCCCTTTAAACGGTCGCACACATGGCCAGAAGCGCGCCTTGGCTTGATGGACATCATCGACCTGGGGGTTTCAGAAAATAGGGGACCCTCATATAGTACCCTAAATAGTAGGATCCTTATTATAAGGACCCAAAAATAGGGTATTATAAGGAGCCCAAAATAGGGTATTATAAGGACCCAAAATAGGGTACCCCTATTTTTCGGAAACCCCCATTTCTTTTGATCATTAGCACCACCATGGCAAAATATGGTACCCCTAATTTTCGGAAACTCCCACCTGCTGTTGGCTGTCTCGCGGAGCTCCTCGAGCTGTGGCCTCCGCTGGCAGCAGAAACAGCAGCAGCAACAGCAGCAGAACAAGCACAACAATATCTACCAGAACTACCATCGTAGTAACAACTTCGAATGCTGATTTTGATAGTGACAATAAAGAAAGATAGTTACGACTCAGAAATAAGAGAGCAAGCTGTACTCAATCTTAACTTGTCCCCAACGCCTGGCAGCCGCCGCTGCTGGTGCTGCTGCTGCTTTGGCTGTCTTGCTGTTGGTCTGGTACTGTAGTCATGCATTTGAGGAACGAAGCCAGCAAAACATGCACTAACGGTAACGACATACCAACCTCCCTGGAAGGAATGCGCACGTGTCGGTGCATGCACTGCCGAGCTGGTGCCCTAATCAGACGCCCAGAACTTGTGTTGAATGGAGGTTCAAAGATCCACCTGCAGGAAATGCAAAACCCCTGAAATGGAATCTATAACTGACGATGCCCCATCTCCAAATCTGCGACCTTTCAACCGGCAGCCTTGCATGCGAGACAGGATCCGGAGGTACGGCTTCCCCGCAAAGGCTCTTCACGCGCTCCTCGGCAAAGTCACAACGTGGGTAGACGACCCACCACCAAATCTTTAGGGCTGTTGGCTGCATGCAGGAGGGCAATGCTGACAGGTTCGACTCAGAAGACCATGACTGATATCACCAAGAGTCCATGATGTGAAAGCTGGAAACATCTGTGCAGAGTTCATGAGCATGTTTTTCCAGTCTTGTCCTCTCAACGTCTGCTATTCTTTACGCCCCGCTCTTGTCTTCAATAGTGTGCGATTGTCCAACTGTCAATCATACCTTGTTGCATGCTGAAGCACCCCATGGCTATCCAGCTTCATGTGGCCACGGTAGGATTGACACAAAGATGACCTATCAATGATCAACGAGGTCATACCGTCTAAGAAATTTATACTGGTAGCCTCACATTTGCTTTTTCCTTTTTGGCTGGCCTAATCTAACTCGCCCAACACAGGGCTTTGGTTCTCCGCCGCGACTTGGGGCGGATTGGACGCAGCCGCCGCCTGGGCAGAGTGAAACCAGCGCAGCGTAGCCCACTCAAGAACCAGGGTCGAGAAGTCAACGTCTTCAACGCTGGTCTGGCCAAAGAAGAACTCAATGTTATCCTGCATTTCGTCGATGCACAGGCCCATCACCTCGGGGCTGCTTCCGCTTCAAGCAACGATTCGAAGACGACTCACTGTGATAAGTTCCGTCATTCTAAAACACAACAAAACGCCCAACTCCTGCGCGAAGTCGGGCGAAGAGGAGATGCTTTCAGGCAAGTCCATCAGCATGGCCGCACAGTCTGCCCATGCCTCCAGGATCTGCATGTCGTGGACCTGAGATCTTTATTGGGTGTTGGGTCGCTATGGTAGCTGCGGCTTCACAACTCCAGATGGCTCCTGCCTAGGGCCTAGGGCCTAGGCCGAGACGTGAACGGATCAAAGAGCAAAATGATGCTCATGAGGATGCGGATGAATAATGCCGCTTCCCAGTGCTGCTTAGCTTCCAGGTGTCGCGAGAGGAGCTCAGCGCAGGCCAAGGCGGCACCCAGGGCCAGCCCCTTCTCTCCTGTTCAGAACATTCAAGCCTGGCTTTGGGGCGATCATTCAGGTTCCCTGGGCTTTCATAGAGGATTTAAATTTTGGGAGATCCAGGTCCATCTTTCGGGATGGTGGAAAAGCCCCTCCCCCAGGCTCCTGAGCTCTGAGCTGCAATCTTTACGCCCCGAAGCCACTGCACAACCTGGCCCCAGCACCAAAGGGAGCCGGCTTCGGCGTGGAACTGCTGCAACAAGCGCTTCTTCTCCTGCAAAGGCCCTCCTTGTCCGGAGCTTTCGAAGCATCCGCTGGAGAGGCTCTGCTTGAGAACCAGCAGCTCGGGGTCGCTCTCGAGCCAGCGTCGGGCACGCTCTTGCAAGGCCAAGTCGGGGATCCCCAAACTCTCCAACCAGGAGGCCTGGAGCGCATAGTCGGCACAGGCATCGATGTAAGAGATTGTGATCTCCGAGTCTACAGAGATGTCCTTCTTTGCACGAAGAAGGACCCAATCAGCGATAAAGTAGCGGGTGGCCTTGCATCAATGTCTCCACTATCGAACGCACTCTTGCCTCCTGCTATCGCTCCGCTCACGGCCGTCTGACCCTGTCTAAGAAATCTGGACCTCAGAGCAACAACAAATTGCCCGAGACAAAGAAACAAAGGGTTCCGAAGGGCCATCGAGTTGCGTTCGGCTTATCGGCATGATTGAGGAACGAGGTTTCATTCCAGACTCCGATTCCGGTGTGGCAGACAACACAGTTTCTCCGCAGCAGCTCGCGCGCAGTCTCCTTCACATGCTCGGACCCACCAGTTCTTGGGGGTTCCAGAAGCCCTCAAAGCCCTATAAGTACCAGAACCGTAAATATAAATATGTATATATATATATATATGTATAACCCTAAGTATAATACACCCTCAATGCCCCGCTCCTCGTTTAGGATGCCTTCGTTCGGCGGCGGTGCATCGCGCGGCCCGCAGAGCTTGCACAAGGCATCGCACGGAGCGCCGGCTGCCAGAACCTGTCTTTGATTCTTTGGTTGATTGGGTCTGGCCGGGTGCTTGGGGTTCTATGGATTCTACGGTCCCGGCCCAACTGAGTTGGGGCTTTGAGGCCGTGTCTTGGATTCCATTTCACGGCAAGCTAAGGCGCTCCCTCCACCCCGTCTCGTGCCGAGCTCTGGTACTTTGGGTTTGTGTTCATATCTTGCGGAGCTGGCCTTCTCGACGAGGACCTGATGGTGTCCTTGGCGAAGCTCCTTGCAGGCTCTCGAGCAAAGCTTCGCACACAACGATGCAGGATTACAATTAAAATATGATAAGAACATTAAACTGACTAGTAGGTCTGGAGTCAGCCGGCGGGCGTATTTATCAGGGGCATATGATTAAGTTTACGGTTTGGGTTCTACTGCATTTACGTCAGGTCAGTCCGCCTGAGAAATTAATTCTTCAATTGCTGCCAGGTCGCTGTATATGCGGCGAAGATAAGTGGCTTCCCCACGATTAAGAGCTCCCCTGCAGAGATTGCAAGTCGTAGACACTGAGGGCACATGTTGCGCAATTAACTTGAGTTGTTTCTCCATTGAGCCGGTTGGGGGTAATGTTTTGTTACTGATTTAGATAAGTAATGCTGTGGTATGACTTCGACTAACTATGCAAGGACGTGGCTACTCCCGAATCATGCTTGTGTTCAAAACTCTGCATCCCTGGACTCATGTCAAGCCGTTCCTGCGGGAAACTTGAGATTGAATCATCCTGGGACATGTAACGAGGGGGAGAGAGCATACGCCAGTTATCGACGTTTTAGGGTTTAGGGCCCTGAACCCCATAAACCCTATAACCATCAGCAGCAAAGCATTGAAGCTCAAAGCCTTCAGGGATGTCACGCTTGGCCCGCCAGCCAAGGCCATGGTCGAACTCCACGAGCTCCTCGCAAGCTTCGTTATGGTGCCTTTGTCCTTCTAATGGCCGAGAAAAAGCTGGACTTTTCAGGTATCCTACTTGCTGTTCAAGGGCCTGTGGTTGCAAATCACGGTCTTGCTTGCGTGATGGTGTGCTGCGGCCACGACTGCACGTGCAGGGCTGACAGCTGTGCGGCTTACTAATCTTCCTGCTACTTGCTCCATGTGAGGAACGGGAAAGTTATTCTAGAAGCTTGGATCGGGATTCTGCTGGCTGCGATGACGTGATGATGAACCGTGAACGGAGTGAGTGGGTGATATGCTCGGCCCAGTCGCCATATCTACATTAATGGGGTTTATTTTCCGGGCACCTGCATGTGCGCGAGGTACTAGAAGAGCCGAACCCTGCGCTGTGCACCCATTGCACCCCTCCCAAGGCGTCCATCGCATCGCTGCAGAACTCGCTCAAAGGCCGGCTGTGTTCCAGACGCAAAGTTTCCTGGAGGCAGGCCTCACAGCGACACATCCATCAGGGAAAGAAAAACCTCGGGAAGCTACAGTAGTGGTGCTTCGGAGAAGACAGCGAATACAAAGCCCTCGAGAACTCAAATCCAAGCGGATGCTCAAAACCCTGCAGCGGCAGCTGCAGGCAGCCCAACTTTGCTTCAACTCAATATTTTGGCCTGTTGCCTCCGCAAGCATCGGGCGAAAATCGAATTTCCCCCGCTTGTGTGCGACAGCAGCTTGAGCTCGGCGCAAAGCTGCAGCAACCTCTGCATCGGCACGGAACCCTCGAATGCTGCACACTGCAAGATCCCCCTTAACATATCGTCCTGGCCTCGTCGTTTTGAGGCTCCAAGATTTTCACCTCCTCCAAGCATTTGGCGGCTTCGATGTGCCGCCCGAGCCCAAGCAGAGCCAGCCCACGCCTCAACATAAGGGCAAACGCGAGCTCGTGTGTGCATGTTTACATCCTCGTTGGACCGAAATGTCATCAAACTGTCCTTTGATCCAGCGAGCCTGAACAAAGCCTTGGCATGCTCAGGCTTCGAACGCAGGACTCTGTCACAGTCGGCCAAGGCGTCTGAAAAACGGTCCAATCGCAGTGACGCCAGCGCCCTGTTGGCCAGCAGCGGAATGCAAAGCTGCTCGGTGTCCGCCAGCCCTAAAGCTTCCCCATATGCTTCCAGCGCATCCTGCCCAGTCGATATATATATATATATGTATTATATATATATACACATTTATTTAGTTTTTATTTAATTAGACATCTCTATATATATATATAGTTACAAACACACACATGTATGTATATATATATATATAGACACATATGTGTGTGTGCGCGTGCGATTGCATATGTAAGTGTATATACATACACAAACATGCATGTATATGTATGGGTATTTGTATATGTATATGCACATGTAGATGCAAATGTAGATGTGTATGCGCATCTTTGTCGATATGTATTTGCGAAAACTAACTGAGGCTGAAACCTCGGCTCTCATGACCTATATATATATATATGTGTATGAACCAAAAATACACATCCATCCGTCCATCATCATCATCATCCATCCATCCATCCATCCATCCGTACCTAAAAAAAGACATGCACACAGACATAGGCATAAACATAGGTGTGTATGTATCTGTATCTAAAATGTACGTGTGTGTGCATGTGTAAATGTAAGTGTATGCCGTATGTGTATATGTACATATGCATGTACATGTGCCTTGGTGGCAAAATGTATGCATTGTTTCTTGTGCAGAAGAGTTCGGGTTTCCGCAAATCTGCATTCGTGTCTGGCATGTGATCTGTATATGCATGTATACATGCGTAAGACAGGATATGCAGTATTGGTTCCATCGGCAGTACAATGCATACTATAATAACGCATGTCAACAAAGCTGATGATGCACACATGTACACACCAACATAACAAAGCATAACATAGGGCAACATAATGTGACATAGGATGCCATGGCATGATATGCCATACCATACCATACCATACTGTTCCCTCTCGCTCTGTAGATACCGTGTTGTGCTGCACGATAAAGTAACATGATGCTCACGACATAACACAAGTCATAACACATAACAAGAAACAATACAACATTATCTAGCGTACTATGTGCATATATACATGTGTGCATCTATTCCTAGACTTTACACATGAACCACGCACATAGGTCTAGAGAAACACACGCCCACACACATATATAAATAAAACAGATACATTTACATATACACATACACGCACACACGCACATATACATATTTTATTTATTGTGTATATATATATATATATATACATATTCACATATTTATGCATGCGCACACTCACACATTCCCCCAAATTATTCCGCGGCACGCATGTTGGTTTAGTGAGCCGCCCGGCCTGCTCCTGACCAAGCTTCACGAACTGGTTACCACGATCTCGTGCGGCACGATAAGCGTCGCTACCACCACCCATGGCGCAAACATGCAGCAGCTATCGGGTTTTTGATGTCTACAAGTTTACCGCGTTCTCTTGGAAATATGGACCAACTTCCCGGTCCAGGCGGTGTGCTGCCACAACACAACAAAACGTTGGTTAATTATTCCAGTGGTATGCCAAGCCAATGACGTCACTGTTTACGTGATGGGTTGATACATCCAACTTGTATGCAACATGCCCTCGGAAGTCGTGCAATCACACAGAGCCAAAAAAGTGCAAACTGGCCCAAAACCTCCACACCCTGAGAACCTGGCACACAGCAGTTACGGTATGCTGAGAGCGGCGCATGTAAGTTGCGAACATCGCGAGCCAAGCTTGCAAAGCTTTTGTCCAGGTTTTCCTGCATTGAAGCATCGCTGTCAATATGTTGCCGGGGCAGAACCGTCACAAGCGAGCAGCTGGTGAGCAACGCGCGACATCGATGTGACGAATCAATTCAAAAGCAACATGTCTCAAGACCTTTTCTGATAGGTCATTACACACCGAAGTGTTGCATGTACATCGCTTTACATCGCAAACAATCAAAAAATGCATGTCCACGGCACGGCACACTTCAATCCCGCGACTCGGAGGCAGGAAGCTTCCTGCCTTCGTCGTGCTTCCGCCTGTTGCGTGCGCTTCATGTGATTGTCCGGCCTTCTCTTGCTTCATGCTGCTCTGCGGCTGCATGCCGAGCCCCAGCCTTGCAGTGCTGAAAGAATCGGTAATTAAACGTGGCACACATCACGTCTTAACACTCTCTTCGGAAACCGCGAATTTACCAAGCTTCCCACTTGAAACACAACGGGTTTCCCGACGGCAACACCAGTTATTCAAGCATACTTGGCCGGCTCGCAACTGCAACTATGTGGTGGGACGGTTTGTGTTGATTTGCGAACATGTGGTATGCACGTGCTGTCTGATTCGGATTTCTTATGGCGCTTGTGAACATGCCCATGCTTCAATACTGTGTGTTTACGCCTGCGTCTTCTTGCTGTGTTGCTGTTACTGATCGTCGGGGTCTGCATGGCGTGGGTGTCCCAAGCTTCATCTGGCAAGACATGGCTGCGGCAACATCGCAACAAGATGCAGCAGGCTGTGGCGGTCGTCGTCATCACAGCAACCGCAGCCGCAGCAGCAACACGAAGTAATGCCAACAACAACAACAATAATTTTTTTCCACGGACTTTTCCGCCTGCGGATATTGTGTCAGCTACAGCTACGCTATGTTTTTATTGTTTTCACGCACACGCTGGCCTGCACGCCCGTCGGCGAATCCTACGAAGTAGCTGCAAAGCTGCATCTTGCCTGCCGCGGCGCCAGTCGAATGCAAGGCCACGGAACGCGCAGTGCAAGGCCGGGGCTCGGCCTGCAGTCGCGAAACAGCATCAAGCAGGGAACACCGCTGCTGAGCGAGCGAGGAGATGCGAGGTGTCTTCGCCGACTCTCCCTCCCGCCCTTACAGAAGCAAGCCGCCTGCCCTTCATAATGCGACGTGCAGACGGCCCGGGTCGACACTGAGACCACTTCACGAACATGCGGAGAAAAAAAAGGTATAAAGGGGGCGCAAAAAAAGGGGGGCAACTCGACAGGATCTCACGGTTCTCGGCACGCCGTTTGGCAGCGACGCCTACGTCCGCCAGCGCCGCGAGGCCAAACGCGAGGAACACGACTGCCTCCTGCAGCGCATCCTGCATGTCCATCCTCCAACCGGCACATGGTTGTGGCTGCATTACTGTGCTTCGTCGCGTGCCAACTTCCTACTGCATTGATTTTGTTTTTTTTGTGGCCTGCGTGCAGCCGGTATTGCGACCGCCATGCTGCTTACCAGGCTTCCTGAATGCATGCACACCCTGCCGGTCATCCGGAAGAGTCGGCGACGACACCTCGCATCACGTCGCTCAGTAGTGGTGTCGGCCATCCGGAGAAGAGCTCTTCTCAAGGACAGCCCAGTCGCCACCTTTACCGACGGGCCCACACGGCGGAGTGAGGACCTTGCGTCGCATCGCGCGCTATGCCCGATTACGCTTCCGGAGTGGAAGCGGTCAAGCAGAAAGGCACCGTGCCGATAACTGTGTATTGGCAGGGTTCGTTCGCCAATTATAATTGGTTGAAATTGTTTTCTTCTAGCGCCATGTTGCGCACGGGGACAGCAAATTACAGCATCAGCCCAACCAAACCCACGAGCACACCCCAACTAGCAACAAGCCAAAGCTCATACGCGAGGCGAGGGGCGGCACCTCGGATGAGTCTGCGAGGACATCACTCAAGAGAGGCGGCTCGCCATCAGACTGGCAGCGTTGTTTTCTTTTGTTTAGCTCGCACCTTTTACCATTTTGCGGCCGCGTCAGGGGTCCTCAGCTTCAATACGCCAGCCGGATCGGGCCTGTTCGCAGGCTGCCCGCCAGCAACTCATGCAACAGCACCTCAGTTGGGTCGCGACGGGCAGCTCGAGAAGCGAGCAGGCCTGTGCCCGGAGAAATGCGAACGAGGCATGGGCCTTCGAGCGCTGGCCCAGAGCTTCTCGAGCGGCCGCAGCGCACCACGGCGCACGCTGGCGAGCCCTCGCCCGTGCGAGCAGTCGCAAGAACGTCAGGTGCCGCGGCTACAGGCAACTGCGAAAGTCATGCCTTGGTCGTGCCCGGGTGGCCGTTCCCCATGTAAAGCGCATGATTCAAGAAGTCACGACAAGTCGTGCCCGGAACCCTTTCCCCCATCTAAGCGCATGCATCAAAGGGTTGTTGGAGTCACACATTGTCAACTTTAAACGTGCAGCGCTCACATGGGCAATGCATTCTGCCAAGACAATCCTGCGT